TCTGCTGGCCACGAAAAAAAAAAAAAAAAAAAAGAAGAAGAAGAAGAAGAAGAAGAAGGAAAAAAGGAATTCCAATGCGTAATCTGGGAATCGAACCCAGGGCTCCCCGACGTTGCTCGGATGGCAACGGAGAATTTTACCACTAAACCAATTACGCTTATAGATGTCATGCACATCACAACTTTTGCTCTATATTATCCAACCTCGCTGCAAAAATCAAAAGACCAGGCGCAACTCCGTGATGCAAAATCCAACAAGTCTACAATCAATAATACAGGTTCTGTATGCATCATGTTTGGTCTTTAGAATGGTCCTGACATGTAGGAGTAGCTTTAAGACTCTCCAGCGTGGGAAGAAAAGGCAGATTCAACAACCCAAAGTAAAATTGAAAATAATTGCAATACCCAACTCTTTGCCTCAATCAGATCTCCAAGCGCTTCTAACAAGCCAACTGTGCCTCGTAATCGGAACAATACCTCAGGAAAGCGAGTTCGAAACGGAAGCCAGACTACCTAGCAACGCTTAGCAACAGCATATCAGGTATGTAGTCTGAGAGAGAGAGAGAGAGAGAGAGAGAAAGGAGGAAGAAAACAGTTTTATTCGTGTTTGTTATCAACATACGCCAGAAAGAATCGACTCTGATTCAGAGATTGGTTGTCTCCGCCACGGAAGGCGACCATCAGGCCCGACCAAAAAGTCGCTTGCCTCTTCCACCAGCTCCCATTTCCCTGTCACAGGATCCTTTTGCACAAACCGGAAGATGATGGAGGAGCCAAAATCTTCAAAGACCAGCTCGCGCCTCCTGAGACGCATCCATTGCTCATTCTCGTCGCCCTCTATGCCATTTGTGATTTCGGTCTCGTTGTTCTTCATGGCAATGGCCCGAAAGACTCTGCTGTCGCGCAAGGCGTTGCGAATGGGGTATTGGCCAAGGATTCGAATTGCCTCTTCCCTAACGGTACGATCTCGGCAGCCAAAAGCGACGACGAAAAGGGGCCATGTCCATCCTGCGTCCATGGCAAAACCGCAGTTGGGTCGAGCTTGCAGCAACTCCTCGGCGAGCGTAGTGATTTCGCGGTATTGTGGCGTCAGGCCCTTGACGGTTATAAGGCTGGAGTAGCGAGGGACGGTGGTGTAAATATAGAGGATTAGATACTCTATTCGAATGCTCATGGCCTGTAGGTAAAGCGACCGATCGTTTGTAGCGTTGCGAAGTACGGCCTGATACATGGGTTGGTAGGCCTCGGTCCAGCGCTGCAGCCAGTATCGTGACTCTGCAATGAATTTCGACAGCGTCACGTTCGTCTTGAGGCTTCCGAATTTCCTCTCCAACTCGGCAGGGTCGGTTGTCCTGTGAAGAGCAAGATCCGACGTCACTCTGGTTAGCATAGGAACATGACGAACCATTTGCCTCTGGACAAGCCCCCAATAGTCACGCATTTCATCCCACGAGCTAAAGGTACGCGGCATATCGTCCAAGGAGACAATTCGGGTTAGTTTTGGTCGAAAATATGGAGAGTGCTTCGTAAACGGGATGATTCCTGGCGGTCGTCTAGGGGCAGGGGGCGGCTGAGGAGAAGAAGGATCGCCCTGGCTTTGAGGGCTCGGTAGGCCTGTCGTGTGGGCCTGGGGGCTATGAGGCGACGACATAGGAGGTGTTTGAGGCTGGTTCGAGGGGCTGTGGCCCGTCGGTTGAGCTGTGTTTGAATATTCGAGTCTCTTTTGGTTTTGTTGTTGCGGATTCTGCGGTGGCAGCGATGAGGTGGAGGCGGATGGCGAGGCTGAGGAGTCGGATGGAGATGGTGATGGTGATGAAGACTGTTGGGGAGGTTTCGGTGGGAAGAAGAATTTCCTATAGGATCCCATGAAGGATCGCGACTGCAACTCCAGGGGTTTGTAGCAGTCTAGAATATCTTGTACCAGGGCTGGTGGCGCCGGAGCAATGCTAACAAGGTCAGGCGCTTTGTCGGTACAGTTAGCAAGTTCGTTAAGCATCGTAAAGCCGTGCGTAATGTGCTTAAGGGCGGCTGGGACATTTCCTCGCTGGGTTTCGAAGCAGATGAATAGGAGAGAGGAAAGCAGAGCAGTTCGCAGGCCCTCCCTGGTAGGCTTCATCTCCGACTGCATTCGGAGAGCCTCGCAATAATAGACAATGGCGTTGAGGTAGTGGCGATTGTTATTGTCGAGCCCCAGCTCCGAGCCTTGGACTTGGTATGCCTTTCGCAAGGCTCCCACAGCCATGGCCCCGTACCGCAACGTGTTTTCTTCCAGAGTAACTTGGGGCATCGTGGCAGTCCAAAGACGAGTCTGGTCGATGAATCCGCCTAGGAAGGTGACGGATAGGTGAGACCATTCGACAAAGTAATCGTGCTGGTCGCTATTGGCGAAGCGAATAGTGTTGACGGAGGGTTCGATGATGAGTAGAGGTGCCTTTTTGGAATGGATGAGTTTGCCTTTGGACGGCTGGGCACGAGCTTGAAGCTGGGAGGAAGAAGAAGAGGAGGAGGTGGAGGGGTTGTCTGCGTAGGAATCACAGTAGCCGCGCCACTTCATGCAGTTGAGGCATGCTGGCCGAGTCTCGTCGCACTTGACATGGCGTTTTCTAGAAGAGGAAGAAGGGAGTCAGCTCGGGGAAGCAAGGCGCAGTGATGACGAAGGGGGGGCAAAGAGTCTGATGGAGAAGCTTGTAGTAATGGAACCTTTGGCGCAACTTACTTGCCTGATTGTCGATACAGCGTCTGATTAGCGACATATGGAAAGGAATCAAATTAAGGGGTCAGTATGCTTCTACTTACAAGTCGTGCAGCCAGTGCGCGCGCGAGTCGAGCTGCGTCGAGTGTGTCTTGCTCTTGAATCTAGGGCAAAGCGATGGATGCCACCTTGGCCGCTTGACGCGGAATCTGCCTGAGATGGAGCTGAGCGACTATTCTCCAGAAGTACTCTTTGTCAGTAACAAGATATATGCGTAGGTACACAAGAGATGGGCTCTCGAAAAGGTATCAAGAGGAGTCAGGACACGCCAAAGGACAACCGCAACCAGGGGATTTGCCCTCATCAGAAGCAAAAGGCAACTCGTGACTCACTCGGCAGAACGATTGCTTTTGCCGGGGTTGATCGGCAGAGTGAATTGTATCTCCATGCTGTCGCGGCGATGCCTGTGCCTGAAAGCCTCGCGGAGAAATCGTGCATCAGCGGGGCTCTCGTGAATGTTGAATCCTTGTGTTGCTCCTGAGGTTGGTCAGCGGTTATGGAGATGGGGTGGCGGCTGTGTCGTTTTTTGACAGGTCGTGTCAAGGTAGGTAGGGTATATCCAGAAAAGACGGCTAAACGCAACGGTTGCTTCGATCGCTCCAAACTCTTTGATTTTATACATTCATTCCATCATCTCTTTTCTTTTCCTCCCTCCCTGGCCGGCGTAAAACTGCAATGATTGCCGAAGGAGCAAGACGCGCAAGAAGAAAAAACAGAAACAAGGCCGTTGATGGATATTAGCTCAGGATCTGTCTGTGCTGAGCCACACGAGAAGGAATTTCTGGGCACCGGGGCCTTGCTTCAGATGTGCCGGCTCGGGAAGTGGCGTTTGGAGAATACAAATAGGATCGGAATATAGCGCAGCCAGGCGAATCTGACACAGAACCCAAGTGGTCCAACGAGTCCACAGCAGCCAGGATTGGATCTGGATCAGGCAGATGTAACGTTTGTACTCGTTCTCGGATGATCAAAGGAGCAAGTCGACATGGGGTGGGAAAAAAAAACAAGAATGACAAAGAAGAAGAAGAGGCAAAACGAAATAGTCTAGCCGTAGGCAAATTGAAAGGCTAGGGGGGAACAGTTTAAAGCAAGATGGCATGCCGCTATCCCACGCTCGAGGCAAGGATGTTGAGTCGGAAGCAGAGACCGGAGCCTGGCAGGGATGCTCGAACTGGGGGATGTTTTGTTGTCTGTACTTATCTGTACTCGTACTGTACTAGGTAATAGCCGTCGTTAGTTCCAAGATGGAAATGCTATTTAAATTGGGGCGGGATGGAGCCGTGTTGAAGATTGCCTTGGCCGTGATCGTGGCAGAAGTGGAGGAGCGGCACTTGCTCCAGTTTTGGATTCTCTTGGACATGTTGCGTTGATGACGCTTGGCCTTGCACCATCTGTGTCGTTTGAAACTGCCGAATAATTGTCCATTGATTTTGTGAAGCAGAGGTTGCAAGAGAGAGAGAGCGTTGGCCGGGGTGTTTTGCCGCTTCACGCTCCCACAGCCGCCAGCAGATCCTCTCGAAAGGCGCCGATTCGGCATAGAGGTGAGATTAACGCCTCCTCCCGCTTGTAAGCCCATTTCCTTGGCCATCCAGGCACCAAGAACGCTAGCCAGACACAAAAGAGACATGAGATACGGAATTTTACTTCTTTTGTTCCCCAACTGCCGGGTAGGTGTTCAAGATGGAACAGACCAGACGGGACATTTTGAACCGTCTATTTCCGCTCTTCAGAAGCGTCTATTCACCTCGAGAAGAAGCTGCAATTCTCAAGCATCAAGGGGGGTTTACCAGCAACGCGGAACTGCCTTGCTGTACCCTCGATACCCCTGTCCTGAAAAGAATCTCCACGTAAGAAGAAAAGAATTAGCGCCACGTCAAAACCTGAAATGGCGCCGTTCAGCCGCCGCCCACTATCTGACAAGTTCTGTACATAATCGATTTACCTAGTGGAACGCCTCTTCCCCATGCCAGATAAAATGACAGGCCATGTTTGTGTGCCACTATCGACCATTTCTCCAGCCAACTTCCCTTCACGGGCTGAATACCAAGCGGACGTTGAAGCGGACATTGAAGCGGCTCAGCCACGCCGTTAATTAAGCCGAGGAATGTCTGAATCCGCTCAAGCTCGTTGGCATTCCTGTTGAAGCTCTCCTTTTACAGATAAGGCACTGCGATTGCTGTGAATATTATTAGATTTTAGAAACATCTCTAGGAATGTCTCGGAAAGGCGGCAGAGTTACCGAGATTATCTGAGGTGAGGCTATCAGAGGGGTTCACCGCTTTGATCAGAGTTTCTCTGGATTTGCACGTGCTTTGCTTGACACTGCCGATTTTGTTTCAAACACGCACATGGCTACCAAAGATAACGCTGGAATGTCAAACACGGTTACATTTTCTTCCTTGACGCTCCTGTTGATATATCTGAGCCAGGTGAGTTGGACAGCTAGCTTCAACTGTGACGCTAGTTAGTACGATCCTTCGCTTCTTTTAGAACGTTGCTGAAAAAAAAAACCGTTTCAAGAGAGCCCCAGGAAACTCCACCTCGAATCACGAATACAGAAAATGGAATCAACGAACCGGGCGAATGGATCCCATAGCCGAGGATCAAAAGAACAGGCAGGGGTAAAGAAAAGCTGTTTGTTCCCTCAGCATCTACAACCTGCCACGGTACTCGGAGCTTCATCCGGATCTGAGCCAAAAGCCGAACACAGGGGAAGTCAATTGCCGGATGGGACTGCGAAGAAACCCAAGGAGCAGCAGTCTCTGCTTTGACAAGTTGAGTTTTGGTTACATCGTGTGCATAATAAGCTCAGAGGTCTATCCACCAAAAGGGTTGATTCCCATCGGCGGCCCCGGCCACGTTGTAAGACTCCCAAGACACTACGAAGTACTGGGCTTTGAGATGGGCTAACGGAATCATATTTCTTCTTCTAGACACTGATGGAACCCAAGCAAAGACAAAAGACAAAAAGCAACGTTGACCCCCGGTCCTGTTTTGTTTTTTCGGCCAGATGAGTGACGATGGGGAACCGGGAAAGGCAGAAGCAAGAACGACAATGAAATCATGCCCTAGGAATTTTGGGCTGCTACAACGATATACCCTTGCCCATGCTCGAAGAACTGCTCTGCATCTGGTTTCCTCGCTCTCTCTCTCGCTCTCGCTTGCTACAACCCATCCTAGCGAGGTGCACATGCTCGGATATTCGTACAGGCACAGGCACAGGCACAGGCACAGGCACAGGCACAGGCACAGGCACAGAACTGGGGAGACAAAGGCCACGAATTCTGCAAACGATGTGGATACTGCTAGCCCTGCCGAGCCTCATAATGGGACTCTCGATCCACTGCTGCAATTGGTATCGCTGCTGCCTTTTTCGTCCATCATCGCGAAATCGATTCAGAATGCTACATAAGCTTTGACCCCAAGGGAGACGTTTTGTACAACTGCCGCAGGCGTCCAGAATCGGATACCGAACCCTCGGTAGCTGGTTCTAGCCGAGGCGGCGAACTGAACAACACTGGGACTTTCGCTCCTATTCATTGGCTGGTTTGTCTTTGTCCTTGTCTGCGTTTGTGTTCTTTCTTTTCCAAAGCACTTTCTCAATCTATTGCCAGATCTTGAGCCATGGCTACAAGCATTGATGACAAGGGCCAGAGAAAAGATTCCGATTCGCCTTCTGATATGCCTCTATTGCGTGTGATTGCCCTTTTCTGGGCTAGACAGGAACCAGATGCGCCTCGCTAAGATCACCAATGCCGGAATACGCCTGGGACTGAGACAACAAAGTCATTGTTTCTTGACCAACTTTGGACGGCATTTGTCATGGATAAGTAAGAAACAGCCGCCTGGTTTACAGCAAGGACCTACTCTAAATCGCGCTCTTCGCCAGTCCCGTCATCCAGGTAGTCGTCCAAGGTCGGTCTCGGCTTGGTGAGCGGGAAGTGGGACTTTCATGGGGGCGTGTATCGGCCAGCGGTGGGAGAATTACCTACGCCCTTGGGGTTAGTTACCCATACCTTAGACATGCAGGCGAGTGCTCGTACGCTTTGGCATGAATGTCGGCATGGGTAGTTGGCATTGGTACAGGAGCTAACCATGGGTTTGTTCAGGCCGATATCACTCTGCACAAGGGACCATCACGGACTACGCCGTAGGTGTGATGGGCGACGCATGCAGCCGAAGACGAATCGAGTCGACATCACGCACGACGAGATTTGACAGGACGCCAAAGCGGCATCGGTCGACACATGTCAATGTTCCGAGCCCATCCATGGACCACCACAGCCGAGCCTGCCCACATGCCGCTTGCCCCAGAATTGCAGCTCGGCCAGCTAGCTGTTTAGGCATTGAGTCGTTTTTTTACGGATACAATAGTATGTACCATCATTCGCCATGGCTTATGCTTTGCAAGGCACAGGAAAAATCCACATGTTTAGTCTGAGACTGAGACAGGGGGGGCGTCGTTGGTTGATCCCGTAGACAGGCAGCGGCGCAACTCTGGACGGACTCGACTCGGTGCTTCGTTCGGAGCATGTGCTGGCCACGGTCAAGAGGGGCGTCTTTGCAGGTACGAGGCAATAAAACAATAAAGCGCAAGGCAACGGTGCGTCCCGTACATGTATGCACATGTAACGTGCATGTTGCCAAGGAAGAATTTCATCTCTTGTGCCTGTGCCTCGTGCCTTGTACGCCATGCCATGCAGCCACTAACAACCAACGGACGACGCCGAGGCCCTTTCTTGAGAGCCCGCCTTTTCTCCATCGAATCCGTTTTCTTCACCGTTGCAACAGTCTCAGACAAG